TTTTTTTCTAGTGATTGGTCGATCAGAGCGAAATAAATATTTAATATCAAGATTTTCTAATTGACAATGCTTAATCTAGAACTTAGTGTCACAAATTTCGACATWGCAATGTGTTYATAATCATCAMAAATAAWTTTAWCAACCCGATTCGATTTTTCACYTYATTTTTGAATGAAAGAATGGGGTGTTTTAGAATCGGGGTGATTTGAAAACGGCTGAAATKCTATACCGAAGAATGCGACAMGAAAGAGAGACAAACATATAGGATTTARCCTGCGAGAGAATGAGATACAATATAYACTATACAATTTTTCCTATTCTCGGTCTCYTTTTTGTGCGCCCTTTGTAATCCCCACTCYTGGCTACTAAGCGTTGTGTATATGTGTGTTTGTGTGCGACTGCATACTACGAAGCGTATACTCATATTATCGATTATCCATGTTTCTCACAAGCAAAGCWGTTTCATGGTTCGCCATAAGATTCGAGCAACAAMAAAATTTAAGATCTCCATTTACAGRATTATAAGATATATTACAGATATTATCGATATGACGATTCAGAATATTATTGGTAAACTGATGGGTCGTTCGCACSTTTTACTCAATAAGGGGGAGCTAGGAGAAACGGARCTTTCGCAGTAGATATTGAACGAACATTAACARTWAAATACATTTGTAATAATAAATAATAAATTAAAATAATATTGAATAATAATGTGTTTCTTTTACAATCCAACGATTTGAGAGAAAATTTCRTTATGATCGTTGTGATTCAAAACTCGATGAAACGAAAAAATACGACCAAAATTGTGTTTCGTTCTTTATCAAGCATTTAAAGGAATTAGTTGCAAYAAGAAAAATACTTGAGCGTGTTGACCCATGATGAGAATATTTCAAATTCAYAGAAAGATTGAAAAGAAAAAAAATCATATACCTGAGTTTCATCAAAGAATAAATTATATTTACTTAGATTAGGACGGRGTATCTTTCCGTCGACAAACATWCTACGATTTTCGTGTTTATCTAAAATCTGAAAGTGGTAGTTTTTGTCAATTATCCCCATCCCAAGGTCATATTGGYGCCCTATGATATATAAGGTAACAATATTATAATAAATAAACCCTAAAATTATCTTCCATCTGATACTGTGCATTCGTCTCTTTCTCTCGAAGCTTGGTTTTTTGACGATTTCACTTCTATTATATTATGTTTGATCTGCACATATAGTTTTTTGTTTTTCTCTTCTTTTGTTTTCCTTTTTATAATGATGTTACGAAATGCAATTCAACAACATTTGGTATGTTTCCATATCTGGTTAACAGTTATACCGTGCTGACAATAGTTGCTTCTATCCGCTCTCTAACGTRAAGTGCGTTTGGTGCTGCGTTAGGATATGGATGGGTGACCGCTAAAGAAACACCGTGTGCTGTTAATACCTTTTGCTTTTTCATTCTRTTTTTTTTTAAATAATCGTCAAGTTTAAACTTAATATGATAATTTTTGATAATATCTTTTTCTGTTTAAGAGGAAATCACGTATCTAATGATTCTCTGGCCACATGCTAATTATATTAGTGTCAGAAATTTTAATGGTCCGATCCAAAATATCTATAACAATCGTGTCCTCGTGTGCGACATATGGTTTATTGTAGCACCACTGTTTACAAATTCCTAGAA